TTCTATACGGGTTTGATTTTCCTAGCGATGTTCAATCTGAAAGGTTGTAACTTTCCAATTTTCTATAACAATATTCTTTTACTGCTTCGATAAACTTTTCCGCAGTTCCGTAAAATTTAGTAATGAGCTTTTATAGATCCATCAAGAATCTTTCGCAGCACAATGGTAAATAAAATAAAAATAGAACCCGCCACACGGAATAGTAATTTGACCCTATTGTGTTTCCAAACGCGGCCCAGTTTTATTGATGTTATTAAATGTCATTGAAATGAAACACCAGGACTTTCCAATGGACTACAAGATATCTATATCTCTGAACTATTGTTTTCATGATCAAGCGTTAAAGAATACACACAAAAAATATAAAATCAAAATCTTCAGGGCTAATAAAATTATTTTCTCATTGGCGTTTTTGTGGTCTGTCTTCGTCTTGTAATTTGAATGTCCGATAGCTTGGCGGACGACATGAACGTTGTTTGTTTCGTGTTTTACGGAAGTGCCTTAATATTTGTTACTCCAAAAGTCAATTTTGACTTTCAATAATAATACTTTTTTTTTAAATTTAATAACAAGCTTCAAAAAGTTATATTTCTAATAATTTCATATAGTTCATCATTGCTTTTGGGTTAAACAAAACGTCATCCATAAATAATCTTAAATTATGTGAAATTCACTATAAATCACTGTAAATCTCTGAATCCCAAAAATTTACCAGATATTGAAGCCCTTAATTAATTAATTAATAGTTTAATAAGTTCTTCCTGTTTTTTAGTCATTCTTCCCAATTCTGTTGCGTTGATATCTCCCTTTTTAACAAGTCAATGATATGTCTTAGCTTCATAAAGTAAGGAAAGTATTTTAGCTTTAGGCATTTGAGTTTTTAAATAACTTAGACAACGTTTTCTAGGAGCTCAGAAACGTAGTTGCTATATTCGGACTAATTTTATAAAAAATAAATGTTTTGTATGGGCAATCGCCTAAAATGTCCAACCTGAGAGTTGCTCTTCCAGTAAGAACATTGGTACGAGCTAGTTTTGGAGAGATTATGGTTTACAAAAACGATAGCTTGTCATATTTGGGAAAATATTTTTTTTATATTTGTTACGAATTTGGTTTTGTTTTGGTATCAATTATGATTAAAACACGGAAATGTCTACTAGTTAGTTTCTACAGAATTTGGGAGATCCGCTATTTTATGGTTCGTAAACATTCCAGCTCACATTAATAGATAACATTCCTTAGTCTAGACGTGACTTTATCGCCTGTAACCTCTTATCATTTTAGAGAAGAACAATTGTTTGTCGACTGTTGAAAGACGCCAAGTGAAAAGTGTTCTCTTATTGGTTCACAGTATATTAGGCCAAGTGAATCAAACTTTAACTATTTAGTTTTTTTTTCAACGTCAGTATGCATCGATGCGTCCGCCGTTGTTGTTGTAGATAAAAGGAATCGTGCGTGACTTTAATTAATGGTATTATCGTTTTTTAATGTGCAATTGATTACATTTCGAACACCGCAATGGGCGACTGGATGACGTTTAGGTTGAACGCGTATAGACACTGGTATAGGCGGGTATGCATTTTTTTAAAATTACTCCTTAACAGTAATTAAGAAAGTATGACTTTAATTAATTTGGAATTTATATACTCATGTACTTGTTGCGTTGGTAAGATATTCTAAATTATTTGTATGGAATACTTGTTGTCGCAGTGATCTGATATACCTAGGTACTATTAACTTTTTGGAAAGATTTACTAGAAAAAAACTAGAAAAAAACAGCATAAATAAAAAAAAGTAATGTTCTCTTGCCATAAATGAATAAAATGTGTTGATTCCTTATTAATTATATTTTTTTAATTAAAAAATTATACACAGTGCGAGTCGTAGGTCGTACTCAATTGAAACCCGCAAGATTAAAATTTTATTGATAATTGGAGATGGGGAAACCCAAAATTAATTTATCTACTCGACTTATTTTCTGATGAAACAATAGTTAAGTTATGTATTACTTTTTAGGATTAGTTAAAATAAAATTTTGAAAGTTGGGAGACACGTGATTTGTCCTTTAAAAATAGTTGCAATTACCATTTAAAAAAAAATCTACATCTTACTAAATTGACAATTTCACTTCTCTTTTACTTGAAAAACGTTAGACGGCACACAATTTTGTTTTCTAAACATGTAAAAAATAATATATAATATAATTTGTAAAATAACTGCTCTTGAGATAACGATAGAGGGGCTCTTGAATTTAAATCATTTTCTCGAAGAAAAACCTAAAAGAAAAAAGAAACGTGTATTTCAAAAAGTGTAAAACTAGTAAATATTTGTTCGTCTGCCTATATAACCAATTTTGAAATTAGTGGTTATTCGTGTATTTAAGTTATAATCGAAGCCATCGCAGATTTGTATTTTGGATGGTCTTAATCGTAGAAAAAATTGAAATAATTATTAAAAACACATCTAATTTTTTTTGTTCGGGATGTCGCTCGAAGCGGTCAATTTAGATTTTACCGTGCATGAAATAAATTTCATAATGACGTTTCGGACCCAGAACAATTTGCCTCAAGTCACCGTCGAGAAATGTTAAATTGAGCGTAATGACGAGAATCATATTCTTTTGAAGGGCAAAGGAAGGAATTATGGGTTTCATTTTGGCTTACACGATTTTCGTATAAATAAAAATCACTTTCCTCTGATGAGCCTATCTCATGCATAGCAAACATAAAACGGAAGTAGTTTGTTATCACACTTTAAATCTTTCTGGTATCAAGCTTTGTAAATATTCGAAAAGTAGATAACATTTTCATCATTCAAGAAGCAATTACTTTTTCTAGTTTTATTATAGACGACTTCTTTTTTGCTATGGCTATTGTCAGCTAATGGTTTAAAATGTTTTATCATTAACAAAAATCCTTAATGTGGTGAAGTATTGCAAATACACCTTATGGCGTCTCACTTAGTTCCATGAATATCATGAAAAATAGAAATTTATCGTTTTTTGTCGTATAATAATATTCGATTTTGCGAGAACAATTGTGATGATTGACGTCCTATTTGTTTTAGTCTATAACATATTTTAGAAAACATTACTTTTTGATTTCTAAAAATTGTGTTGGAAAAGTAACGCTCGCAGTTTATTGTCAGTTAATTAATTGTAGCAATAAAAAAGAAATGTAAAACGGGTCTCACATGATCAATATTACTGATATTCATTCACTTTTTCTAATAACGACTAACCTGTGACAATTATATCATTTTTAAAGAAACTTCCACAGACTACTGTAATACTATTTACAAATCTTCTGGATTCCTCCTGCCTCGGTTATTGATAAATAAAACTGACGTCTCGCGAATTATCCATGACTTCTTTATAGCTAAACTGAAAATGTTTCAGTTTAGATAAAAATGGAAAAGCCGTTAATTAAGTATTCGACTTTGTCCTTTTTTTCAAGATTTTAGGAATATAAATATAAATGAAAGTAAGCTTCTGACTCGACCCAATTTTTTTATAATTAGAAGTAAAACGCGGATGCGAAATGCAGCTGGGCTATTCGGTAAATAGCCGTTAAATATGCCGTGACTAAACTTAAATAGAATTTCTATGTTCCAGGCGCCGACTTCTTCCCAGAGTTTTCGTGAATAATGAATTTTGCACTGGCCCAACTTAAATAAATTTACTTAATCATCTTCGTTAATTAATTTCCGTCCGACACATATGGACGGTGTAATCGGGTTACAATGGATAATAAATAATTACCAAGGGCCAGCCACTTTTTTTCCATTTTTAATAATTTCATTTTTTTTTTAATCAAGTGCTGTCGAAGAATAGTTTGAAAGGCTGTTGATTAACGCTGTGTATATTTAGTCACTTCAATTAATTTCTCATATGGCTATAGTCACATTTGTTTATACAAAGGGATTCAAAACATAATTAAAAATGAAGCCTCACAAAAATATTTATAATAATAATACACAAAAATATTCTTTTTATACTCAAACAATCAGTAAGGTCTAATATTAACTCTTAATCTCCGTTTTCTTCAGATGAAGTAGTTGGCCATGTTAGTATAATCTCATAGAAATGTTTTTATATCTGGCTTCAATGCTCGCGCTCCGAAAACACTTCGAACACATAATTCAAATAATTACCTTGATGGGAATGATCGAATATGATCATAGCAACAATAGCTTCATTAGGTAGATGTCATTTACTCATATTTTGACGTTTATTTCCTTCTTGGAACTAGTTGTTCAATTTCAAACCACATGTTTCCAAAAAAGGGGAATTATTTTTAGCAACATATTCAGGCTGGATGGAACAGCGTATTATTGATAGGAATGGGAAAAGAAAAATTAGCGTTAATAAATAAATCATATAACACTTGTCAATTACTCCCATTTATAGGGCACTGAAACAACATATGAGTCTGGTCATCAAGTAACCCAGAATTGCAATTAGATGGGCGGATGTTCTTCCTAGGCGACACAAAGTAGTGACTTTTTTTCTGTTCATTGGTAACTTATGGAAACAAGGGTTAGTTGGAGGCTTATCAAAGTTGTGAACTATAACGCCCATAGCTTGTGATACCCAAACCTTCCAAATATTACTTTTAGGTAAAACGTAATATAAAACATAGTTGAAGATTTATCTTAGGTTCCAGCCGACCAGAGTTAGCCAATTGATCTGCAATAACTTTTGATTTAATGTGATGTGGCGAGAACGGTTAACTGTCTATTTATTAATTTCACAATGCGCAAAAATGTGTTTAGTGAGTTTTACGAGAGATTTGTATAAAATGATCAATGGTCGAAAAGGTTTGCACTACTACCTTTTCTCATTCTGTAATTATCAATGTTTTGAATGTTATATAGATAGATATCGTTTATCGGCCGTATATAAATACAGTATATCTAAAGTTATTCACTCACAATAGGAATATAAGTCTGTGGAAAAACGATGGCATAACAAATTGTTAAAATATTTTTCTCGTTTTCAGGTGATCGCGTTCATATGCGGGCTCATCGTGATTGTTCTGATGATAATGGGTCTGGCGTCGACGGACTGGTTGATGGCAGCTGGTTGGCGACAGGGCCTCTTCATGCATTGCATAGAAGAAAACGCCCCCGAGCCGCTGCCGTTCAATACGAAAGGTGGCGCGGGTTGCTACACGGCGAGAGATGCAGGTAGGTTGTAGGTTTGAAACCTCTCAAAGTAGGCACATCTGTTTTGATTCATATTCACTTTGAAAACCAATAAAATCGGTTCATAAATACGTACACTACCTTTTTTAAACTTCGTTTTGGGGGATTTCATCAAATCACGTAATTCCTGGCAACTACAAGTTAAACCAAAGTTCGCCCAGAGAAAACAGTACGAAATAACTGATAATCTCATCATTACCAAGCGCGATTTAATTTTTGCGATTTGTGTCATATTAAGTACGAAAGCTTGTCAAAAACACAAAAAAGTATACATTTTTTTCTAGAAAAATTTTTGCTTCGAATTTGATGTCTAGTGGAAACAGTTTAATACCTTGTATCCCGAAAATCAAGCGAGTATGTTGACATATGAATATGCTTTATTAATTTTTTTGTATGTGTATTGTGGGCGTTTATCCTAGGACAGTACTTTATCTCGGAAACTATAGGGGATGGAGGCAAAAGTTGAATACAAAAGTTAATTGAGGTATTACAAACCTTTAATTTATTTTAATTTTGTATATACTGCGTGTTTAATTTATCGTAGGCGAATATCAATTTTCTTATTTTAAATGGAACACCTGGTATATTATTTAATTTTTGAATTCTATACAAATTACAAATTACAATCGTTTAGTCACTAAAGAATTTTTAACACCCCTTATTTTGAAAAGCGACATCCCCAAAAAAATATGCTACATTCTTCTTAAAATGGTTAAAATCCTATCATTCACCAAAATTAGGAAACTATAGTCCTAGTAGGTTGAGCTAGTTAACGCGGGGATATTATAATGAAAAGAATATTTGTGCCAAGCATACATTTTTACCACGGCTGTAAACGATATCGTGACCAAATCCATTAGAGCAGTAAAACAACAAACAGACGTTTAATGCACAAAAAAAAAAATATATATATATATATATATATATATATATATATATATATATTATATATATATATATATATATATATATATATATATATATATATATATATATATATATATATATATATATATATATATATATATATATATATATATATATATATATATATGTATATATATATGTATATATATATGTATATATATATGTATATATATATATATATATATATATATATATATATATATATATATATATATATATATATATATATATATATATTCAGCTTGGCTAGTTATTGGTGTCACACCACCACTACCAAATACAGTACTTTTTACAAAACTTTCTCCTGCGTCGGTTTTTGTTGCGTTCAAATTGCTAATGTCTGTCTCGCTTGGCGTCTTGGCTTCTGAAGAGTTTCAGTCAAGCTCTGAAGAAGCCAACTTCAAACAACCAAGTTCGACTCAACAAAAACCGACGCAGGAGGAATTCAGAAGTTTTGTAAAAAGTGTTACAGTAGCCTGTGGAAGTTTCTTTGAAAAATTACTAAATACAGTATTTTATAAATGGTTCAGCGACGGAGATATTTTACAATTCTACGCAAAAAAGAAATTGATTTTGTTCACAGATTTCTAATCTTTTTTACTCTTTAAAAATTCATTTTAAATCAATTTTGCAAACTTGAGGAAATGATCCGTTCCATGAGATTATTTTTAAACAAACCAAATAAAATCTACCTTTTGAGTGGAGACCAAGAAGATGTACCACGCAAGCTGTTGTCACTTTTATGTAGAACCCAAATATTTCAAATTCAATCCCAAGTTCTTTTATCATAAAACTATTAAATTAAGATCTCAGGATATAAATATTAAACCAAGTCCGCAAATAATCTGCTCAAAGTTTCTCGTACCTAGCTGAAACTTTTGCATTCGGAATTATTTCTGAAGGAAATTTAATTTAAGTGATTGGAAACATGGTTTTGAAAGTTTCCTGCGATCTACCTATAATATACCTTCTAAATTTACCTGATTCTAATTTTCGATCCTCGCTTTATGTTGAGATTCAAATTTAGACGTATTGAATGCAATAAAAATGAATTCTTCTTTGCAGCTTACATTAAGGCGGCGGCAGCGTTGTGTGTGATAACTTTGTTAACCGACCTAGTTGCCACCGTCCTAACTGGGCTAGGTCTCAGGACGAAAGATCACCATACGAAATACAAATACTACAGGTTCGCCGTAATTGTCATGGGACTAGCCCGTAAGTATCGCAGTTGTTCGTTGAAACTTTATATCGCTTGCCGTGTGCAAATATTTGGCTCTATTTCCAAAATGTGGCACTTGATTGTTGCTTAGTTTCACTAGCGTCGAATATTTTCCAAATCGTAGAAGGAATAAGAAACGCGCCAGTAATTTTAGATTGAGTGATTGAGATTTTTTTATTTTTCCAGTTGCTTCGATTTTGGTGGCGTTAATAATATACCCCGTATGTTTTGCCGCTGAATTAAACTTGGGTAAGTATTTTTCGTGGATTGTATGGATCGTACGAAATCGTACAATTTTTTTTTATTGTATCAAACATCAAGCATGTTCTTAATTTAATTTTTATTTCCTTCAATGTTTTTTTCTTCTCTTTGAAGCCAAAAATTTAAAATGTTTGACTGCTTTGACCACACTACTGAATATGCTAAGGATTGCATATAATAAATAGCATAGAATTAATCAAAATTTTATAACAAAATATTCCTTAACAATTATGTTATAACTACATTAATTTTTATGCAATTAATGGTAAACCACTTGGTTTCCCACTATTCCCAGACGTCCAAGTTCCCACTGTCCAATTTCTTATAAGTATGTGAGAACTGAAATCAGAACGATAAAAACAATATTCCAGCGTAAAACAATTGCTTTAGATAAGCAAATGACCACGAAATAAACGAATGAGCTTTCCAAAGATGATAAATTGCAAGTGTTCGCATATAAAATGAAAAGCAATGGTGACAAAATCATGACGTTTTTAATAATAATTTAGGACATTAAAACGTCTAGATAAAGCCACAATCCTTTTTAATATATTTTTTTATTTTCATAATAGTAAATTTAAATGTGGCATTGGAAATGTAGAAAAATAATTTGTATAGGAAATGCAAAATGAAGCCACATACTTTGGTTCAGTTTACGTAAATTGGGAACAAATCGCGTGTGTGTTAACTACATCCCTGTAGCCACCGAATATTAACAAAAATAAGTGGTCCATACTTTCCGTTTCCACAGTGCTGCGGTAATACCTTTCCCATTCCCGATCATCCCGAAGGCGTACTAATATCAACATTTTGATTTTTTAGGGAACAGAACAGTATGGGAGTTCGGATGGGCTTACGGGGTGGGGTGGGGTGCGGCGATATTTCTCTTCGGCGGCATCGTGCTCTTAATGTGCGACAAGGAGAGCGAAGAGATATACTACAAAGAAAGGAAAATCGTTCACGATAACGATTCTCGCGCCTAGTGGCCACATAGTCTGCCCGACGTTGTTCTCTGATCATAAGAGACGGAATGTCGCTTCTCTCGGTGAGTGTGATGAGAATGAAAGGTTCCTGTAAGTGTACAATCACTATTTCGACGAAAGTGATTTTTTTATGAATGTACTGTGTTTACATGGGTTTTTTCTATATTTTCTTTTGTTTAGCAACGTATAAGTGACAATTTTCTTGCTCTAGCAAACATCCTCTCAAGCTGTTGAGCAAAAAAAAAAACGCATTGGAGTTTTCTCAGCTCCGTTTAGGCCGTCTCTTTCCGTTTTCTCGGTCAGTACTTTACGGTAGTAAGTGACGCCAAGTTGATACTTTTAGAGGGGCTGTATATTATTTTCAATAAAGCAACAGGTCATAAGGAGGAATAATTATTCAATAAGTCCATGTTTATCTCGCTTGGTGCTGTGTTGTCATAGAATACCTAGAATAATTCCGGTGTCCTACAACACAACGATTTGAACAATAAAACAATTTAAAACACTTACATATAAATAGAAAATAGAACGAAAGCACCTAAAGAATAAAGAAATACGGGAGATGTTTAAATTGAACTTGTATATATAAAAAATGTCTAAAAAACGTGAAATATTTTTTTAATTACAATGCTACATTGATTTTAATATACTCACCCTGTACATTATCGACGACATTTGCCACCACATTTATCGCATCAATCTTATATAAGATACGTTCTAAGATAGACCTATAATAATTAAAGAAAAACGCTTAATCTATGATTTTAGTTCTTACTAGCATCACAACGGCACTCCGTCGCGTTCTGTAACTAGCCAAATGTAATATTTTTATTCTCCAAGCACCACGCCCCAATTTGAATATAAGTTTCATATGTCAAATGTAACATTTAAAAAAATATTTTTTGGGACACCTAAAATACAATTGGAAGGTCGAAATAGTCAATTTAAACTCTACAATCGCTCTGATTGCACATGAGTTGCTGTGATTCATACAGAAAAAATCTTTATAAAATCACCTATGATCTTTTATTGATTGCTCTCATTTCCTAATGGAAATTGTCAATTTAAATCTCACATTCCCTCTAATTGCCAATGAGTTGCTGTGACTCATCACCATGAGAAATGACGTCACGTGTTGATTACTAATTACGTATTAAAACTTTTTGCAATGGAAAAAATGCTGGGCATATTAGATGAAACACAAGGGCGAAGTTTAAACAATATTTGTTTACAATAAGACTTTAATTTTTGGCACACAACTCTTTTAATACATCAAAGGGAGGGGTGCATGAGCTTGATTCTAAAACGTCAAAATGTGAAGTGCAGAAATTGTCACAGTACGTTTGTAGCTAGGTTAAGCCCGAGAGGATATACCGTAATTTCTTTTATACTTGGAGTTACTGTAGACTGTAGATCATAATTCCTCTCGGTTTGTACATATAACTGTAGGTATATGCCGCGGAAAATGTTTAAAATTATTGTTTATTTTAATACAACCTCTCTCTCTCTCTTCAGTCGTTGTCCGTTTTCGGACGTCGTGACTCGTTCATGGATGTTGTGTAGTGACCCTTCGCCAGGCTTCTCTGTCCTCTACAGTACGCATCACTTGTGAGACCGACATTTGTGTGAGCTCCTTTATTTGATCTATATATCTCACTGGTGACCTTCCTCTTGCCCTTTTTCCATCAACCTTCCCCTGTATCATGAGTTTTACAACCTACTGACGTTTTTTTTATTACGATTGTCGAGTGTACATTTTCAGGATTGTGCGAATGTTGCTTGCCTGTAAAATTGGATGTTTACCTGGTCAGTTTGATGTGGAGATATAATTGTTCGATTCCGGCATAATTGTACAAAATCGTTTTGTAGAGCGTCCTGTTTATTTATTGTATATTTAACGTTGGACGAATCAATGAACGCTTCGAATGTCAAATTTTGATTTAGTACTCAATTTACTGTAACAATATAAACGATCCGCGGCGCAATTAGGAATACGTAATTATAGAAGCATTGATTGATTCTCTTTTGCCACACAGTTTAGTTTAGTTTAACTTATTGCGAATTATTACAGACTAATAATCAAATTTTAATCAAACTGATTAGAAAGCCGTTACTTTTTTTCTCTTTGCTTGCCGGCGGTAAAACGGCAAAAAATTAAAAACGTTTGCACATGATATTATTTGCATTGCATTTTTTCGGTTAAAAAATTTATTTTATAACGTTATTTCCCACTCCGATTGGAGGGGTCAAGTTGAAATATCTTTGCTGTAACCATTGGCTTGACAAAAAGTGGACTTCAACTTAAAGATTTATAAAACTATAACTAAAAAAATTGTTTATACTAAGAGTTTTTGACTTGACATCTACGATGGGCCAAAAAGGAACGGGGGAAGAGTGGAAGTGGAAGAGTACTGTATACGCGCATGGTATATCACAACAATTCGAATCAGGAAATTTCAACATTTTGGAGAAGAATTGTTGTTATAACGTTTTTTGAGTTTGGGAGATAAGGTCCGATTTTCTTTTTAACTTTCACGGATATTAGTTACTGTAGTCTTTGTTGAACTTTTTATTCTGCTTTAACCGAAATATTACAAAAGTACATTTGTTGTTTGCCTTCTAAAGGGTAATAGAGGTTCGTTGTAAGCGGACTTAAATTGGACCTTACATTTCCCTGCTTTTGCGTTTTGCAGTTGGTTACCATTTTCGAACGCATAGTCAGAATTAGTGGTTTGTTCTTTTTTTTTGTGTTCAATCCTGTGTAACTGCACTAATACGTAGCGAATGTAGTGTACGACTGAGAGGCAACCCGGGCAGGCTAGGTGTATGGGTCGAAGCAAAAAAGAATAATTTATACGAGACTTAGACTGAAAAATATGTACATTAGTAAGTCCAGTGATTAATTTAGTGCATAATATTTCATCGACAGACGATATACGGTTGAGAACTACAGATACGTCCCGCAACGTGACATGTTCTCTAGGCAGCTTCAGATTATATGTGAATATTTGTTTGTAGTGTTCCCTGTATGCAAAATTCTTGAAACGTTTTTTTAAAGGAACGAGTGCTCGTCGAGTATAAAAATTAAATCGGTGTTCGTTTTTGTTTTTTGCAATGTGCGTTAATAATGTACATATCTTTTTGGGAGATTTGACATCTACTTTTATTTTGATGCTATCTCGCTATGATGTCAAGTCCTGAAAATTTGTATTAAGTAGATAGTAATATTTTATAATATAATTAATTAGTGGGACTTGTATTTAACGATTGTTTTTTTTTTCCACGAGGCATTATTTTTCTAATTTTATAGAAATATGTAAAAGTATGTCAAAAATTTGGAAAAATGATGAAATATTAATTTCAAGAAAATCTTTCACATTCATTCATTCAGTGTAATGAATACGATGCTATATAATTTTGATGGAATTTTATAACAAAATTTGTTATAGAAAACCACAATTTTGTAAACGTAAACATTGGCATTTTTTTAAATTAAAATTGTTGATATAAAATTCCAATAAAATTTTATACCATGATTTTCTGAAGGAAACAGCTTTTCAATATGAAAATATAAATGCTCGAGCAATCTTTGGTCTTAAAAAATAAAAAAATAACTGTATTAACGTTTGCTAAAATAATAAGAAGCTTATATTTTAGAATTATTATTATAAGTATCTTTCCATACATTTTACCCACCAGGTATAATTATAACATGTGGTTACCTGCGGCTGGGTAGGTCACCCAATATTTTTATTTAGTTATTTTCGGCGGAAACAAGAGTCGAAACCATTGATGGGAGAAACCGTTTTCCTGATTGTACCTGTTTAATGTTTTTTTTTTTTATTTATTTACTATTGCATTTTGTAAATTTCAATTATATTTGTAAATCGCTATTTCCTCGATAGAAAAGAAACAACCTTGTCATCTTCCACGCCAATAACAATCGGTATTGAGAAAAAGGTTATTTCCTTTCTCTTGAGTTTACAACTAAAATTTAAGAAATTCTTTTGGAATATTCCTTCGGTTACTTCAGGGTGACCAATATAAAATTTCATTTTAGAATCTCATAATTTATTGCAAATGGAAGCTTGCTTTATTTATTAATAATTTTTGGTCGATGTCACGTCAAAAATAAATAATTATTTAAATTCATGTGTTTATAATCTCATATACTTCGCTGGCACATATTTGTGTTAAAAGGAAATCAACAAAAATGTGATATTTTAAATTGATATTGTTTTACATATGCTATTTACGTTGTTTACATTATCTAGAACAGTCTAGAGATTACTGGCCCCCCCTAGAAGCGAATAAATAGCAGTTAAGCATATCTTAACGATAAGAGAAATATTTATGTATAACTAAAGACCATTACAAATACTCACGACGGTCACATTCTAGTCGAAACGAGGTAACTATATTTTTGAAGCTATTAGCTAATTAAAGTTCATATAAAATACGTTATTGAACCGACTACAAAAAAATCTCTTAACAGCATATCACCCATCTGCCTATTGAGATTGTCTGTTTTTTTCGGTGTTTTTGTTTCTCAGCAATGGGATGACTGTTTTTCAATTAGCTTCTTCAGTTCTGCTGTAATTAATTCAGTTTTAGGATATTAAAATAAATGCTGAGTTATTGGACCAAAATTTAATTTGTAAGTTATAAAATTGCTTTAAAGAAGATTGAAACAGTAAAAATAATCATTACATCGGATATGTAATACTTCCGCTATTCCGTATTGTAAATAGCAAAATAGGTGTAAGATCAAATAATAACTATACAAATTTAAGAGACGTAGCGATGTGATATATAGCTTGTGTATATAATAAATGTAAATCCCGTATTTATGGATAACCGTGCGCATTGTGAATGGAATGTTTTCAACAACTCATTGACTAAAAAAATTGCACTATAATATTATAATTGATAATTGTTCACAAAAAATAATTTAATGTAAGAGAAAAATCAAATCAAATTCATTTCGAGGCTTATTTTATAAGTTTA